CTAATCTCCCCCATCCCTCCTAGAAAATGCCCCCCTGCTCCCTTCCAGACCGGTTTAGATAAAATGCGCAGTTCAAAGTGTACGCATTCAGGCAATATAAAGCATAGCTGTATAAGACATTGGCCTAAATTTGAATCACTAGGGTAGAAATTCATTGTGCTTCTGCACTCATTATTTCTTATTTCTTTTTAAAAATCATTTTAAAAATCATTCACAATGTCTCCGAAAAAACTTTAAAAGTCACATTTTTTATCCTAACCATGTGTCTGGGGTGTTCCTATAAACTTGCAATGACTTAATTTTTTTCATACAAGCTTTCTGTTTGTATAACTATCGAAGTCGATTTATTCTTAAGTTTAATAATCAATGTACAATATAGAAGAATATATAGAAAATATTTTAAGAAATATTATTTTTTTCAATACATATGTTTGTTTCTCAAATGTTTGTGTTCTAATTTTTAAGATAAAAATAATCGACAGACTTTAAAATTTCCAATTTAATGTTTACATATGTCACCATATTATATTGTATTTTGTCAGATAAGATTAAGAATTCCTGGGTTTCATTTATTTGAACAAAACATTATCTGTGGAAACTACATGAATTGTTTAGCAAAAGTACGACGATAATNCCCCCCCCCTCTACCCTACCCATCCACAAACTAGACTTAAGAGACAGCGTGAGTTAGATTTAGCACTAAACATTCATTCTTGTTCATTCAGTCATTTTCAAATTGTTATGTTTTCTTGAAAGGAACTGAGTTCTTGTAACAAACTCTGAATATCGTATTCCTATATCTTTGCAACCCAATGTCGTTGACCTTTGGTATTTCAAACTATTAGTACTGTTAGACCAAATAATCTTAAGTCGAAATATTAATATCTGGTTGCAAAGATATAGGAAATAAAAAACAAACAATTTCTTACAATGGCAATAATTTGTAACAAATAAAAATTCTTCTGAAATCTAGGTTAAAGTGTTTGAGTCTTTGCTCATACTTAAATTTTCTAATCCCTATATCTTTCCAACCTGATAGTGTAAACCTTAGGTTGTTTAATCTGATGAATTCATAATTTGAACTATCTAAGGTCTACATCATTGGGTCGCAAAATTGTGAGGGTTAGAAAAACAAAACTTGTGGCAAAGACTCAATTTCTTTATATCGGTCTGATATCTATATGTTAGACAAAAGTATTTTTTTTATTATTATTAAGAAATTTAATTGTCTAAATGTATATTCTAATTATTAATTTATTTACCCAACTTTTGATAAACAAGCAACAAGTGGATTTCGTTATTTTTGAAGTTGCACTGCAATTTGAATAATGTTTGGCACATTTCCACTTAATATTGTCTTCCTTTTAAAATCAATTTGATTAATTTTTGGCACATTTCCGCTAAATATCGTGTTCCTTTTAAAATCAATTTGAATAATATTTGGCACATTTCCACTAAAAATCGTCTTCCTTTTAAGATCAATTTGATTAATTTTTGGCACATTTCCGCTAAAAATCGTCTTCCTTTTAAAATTATTTTTTAAAACGTGAAAAAATCATTATAATAAGCTCGCAACTAAAAAATAAGATAAAACTACTTGAACCTTCTTTCGTATAAAAAATTATGTTGAAAAGTTAATACTAAAGTAAGAACCAGAGAACTATGGAATTAGAAGACGACATTAAAGCAATACTTAAGTATATTTCATGATGTTATATAGCAAATTAAATTGATTATTAAGTGAAATGTGCCTGTTTATACTGCACAATTGCTGTGTAATGTTCATTGGATTAAATAAAGCCATAACTTCAGAATAAAATTGTATAATCTCTTTAATTTTTAACCTAAGTACTATAAGAAAAACACTCCTGTCTATATTTGGTTTATATTCTCTATACCTAAAAAGCAGAACAATCACTTACACTAATTAGATTTACTTATACTAAATGTTTTGCACTTTTTGCTGGTTATTTAGTGTGTGACACCTACCCCTCCCAAACCAATAACAATAAAGTATGTTACTAAACTGTATTGTTGAGAAAGGTAGGTAAAGTATCTACGTAAACTTTAGTAAAGTAATTGAATCTTTACCACAAACTTTGAATATTTATATCTTTGCAACCTTTTAGAATAAACCTTTGATATTTCAAACTTAAATAATATTTAAAATCATTTAATTATAAAATGTTTTTAAAAGTCTCCTAATTTTACCTTTTAAAGCTTTTATTTAAACTTTTTTTTGGGGGGGGGGGGATTTTTCTTAAACTTTTTATCCGAAGCCTTGTTTATGTTGTAAAATTTTTCTAGTTATCTTCTTTTACAGAACCTCTTTGGGGTGGCCGGGAAGGGGGGGGGGTGCATAGATTAAGGATAAACTTCTAAAAAGGGTGGGGTGTGGGGGGGTACAAACAGTCCCCTTAATATATCTTTCCTAATTCTTTCAACAGTTTGAACACTGGTTCAGGTTGTTAAACAGTTTTAATATTCTCTCTCCGAGGTGTCGGGTCATTCATCTTCTCTTATAGGGTTAAACAGCTAATATATGAACCCGGAGTTTCACACCTATAGGTGGACCCTACACGGAGCATAATATACAGGGTTACACACAAAATATCAGACTTTCAATACGACAAACTGATGAATTCATTTGGACTTTTTTATCGAATAAGTTAAAAGGAATATTAAATGACTAAGGAAAGATGAAATCATGTGTAGGGACTAAATCTATTTCTTCAATCTTCATTTCAGGGAGGCAATAGGGATTCAATAAATATAGAAGAGAATATTACATTTCCAATGCAAATAGGGATTTAATAAATATAGAAGAGAGTATTACATTGCCAAGGTAATAGGGATTCAATAAATATAGAAGAGAGTATTACATTTCCAAGGTAATAGGAATTCAATAAATATAGAAGAGAGTATTACATTGCCAAGGTAATAGGGATTCAAAAAATATAGAAGAGAATATTACATTGCCAAGGTAATAGAGATTCAATAAATATAGAAGAGAATATTGCATTGCCAAGGTAATAGAGATTCAATAAATATAGAAGAGAGTATTACATTGCCAAGGTTATAGGGATTCAATAAATATAGAAGAGAATATTACATTGCCAAGGTAATAGGGATTCAATGAATATAGAAGAGAGTATTACATTGCCAAGGTAATAGGGATTCAATAAATATAGAAGAGAATATTACATTGCCAAGGTAATAGGGATTCAATAAATATAGAAGAGAATATTACATTGCCAAGGTAATAGGGATTCAATAAATATAGAAGAGAATATT